GGACTCCTGGGTCTGAGGGAGGAGGGCTGGGGGTCTGAAATCCTGGGTCTGAGGAGGAGGGATGGGGACTCCTAAGTGCCCTGGTTGAAGGGGGCTAAAATCTAGCAAGAGGTCCTCACGAGAGGAGGCGCTAGGAGTTGGGAGCTTGGGTTTGAGAAAGAGAGGGGTCTTCCCTGCTCCCCACCCCTCCATTCCTAAGACAGAATTCGAACTTCGGGCCAGACAGGCGGTGGGCTGAGGTCCAGCACCGTGCTCGCAAAGGCGAAGACGAAGCTGGGAAGCTGGTGTCCTAGGCTGGGAGAAGCCAAGGCTGAGGCCAGAGGCCTTGGGTTGCTGAGAGTGGAGGCTGGGGTTCAGGGACGCTATTCTGTGCGGGTGATGGGGTGTGGTGTTTGGCGTGGAGGTGGAGAAAGCGTGGGGCGTGGCCGGGGGAGTCCTAAACTGCGCCCAGAAGGCGAAGGGGTGTTTCCTCTCCCTCCGCCTGTCTTCGGAGATGCATTCCTGAGTTCTGACCTCAGGCGGCGGCTGGAGGCGCGGAGGGTGGAGAAGGACCCCCCCTCCCCTCCGGGTGGTCCCTGCACCACCCCCCTCCTTTCCTGGGGCACTTCTGGATTTGTGGCGCGCCCTGTTTCTCCTTCCCCGCTCGGGACCCGACAGTACCCGCTTTCCAGGGCGCCCCAGAGCAGGCCAGCCCTGACTTCCTCCTAACGGGTTCTCGGAGGGCGTGGCGGGGAGCTGGAGGCGGCTCCTCCCGCCTAGCACCTCCCAGGTGGCCCCGGAGGCCCAGCCCCCGCAGGGAGACCTGACTTCCGAGGGTCGGTGGGAGGTGTGGCTACTAATCTCTGGACTGGATTCCAACAGTGTGGTTTCCAGCTTCGAGGTTGGGGTGGGGTGGGGGGGGTGGGGTTCCCCTAGGCAAACCCGGGGGTCTCTTCTTGGGGTCCAGGCTCCCAGTCCATGCTCTAGGGACCCAGGACTCACATTTTGGAGGCCCCAGAAATTCAGGCTTCTGGCCTCCCTTCCTGGGACCTGGAGTTTGGACTCGCGCCCCACCCCCCTCCCCGGAATCCACAAGTGGGGCGGCGATCCCGGAGGCCGGCGCGGGGCGGAGGTCCCAGCACCGCCCCCTGGTCCCCGGCACATTCCAGATGGCTGGGCTGACTTGAAGCCCTTATAAGGCACGGAGACGCTGCGCCTGGCCAGGCCGCCCGCCCCCGCAGCCACCGCCCAGGGCCCTCCCGCCGGCCGGGCCCGCGACTTTCTAGGGCTGGGGCGAGGTTAAGATCACTCACACCCACGCCGGCCCGCGCGCGGGGCGTGCACTTTCACCGGGTTCCTTCCACTTCGCTTCTGCAGTTTGGGGACTTGGGGACGGGGCAGGGGCGGGGCTTCCCTGGGGTCACCGCCGGGACCTCTCCCGGCCCGAGGCCAAATCCCCGCCCTGGCTGGGAGGGCGCCGAGGCTGCGGAGGCTGGCGGCGCGTTCTGGGCGAGCTGGTCGCCTGGGTCCCGGGAGGGGCGGAGCGGGGGCTGGGTTGGGCGCGGACTCTCCCTCCCTCCCTCCCTCCAGTGCTCTGACTGGCCTTTTCCAGGTGTCTGACCTAATCCACCTCCAGAGCCGGATCTTTCTGCGTCTGGGTCCTCCGCAAAGACTGCTGGTGAGTGGGAGCCGGGACGCCCCGTGTCTGAGGGAGGAGGGGCTGGGGGCCCGGCCTCCTTGGGTCTGAGGGCAGAGGGGGCTTCCCGCCCAGACTTTTGTGTCGGAGGGAGGAGCATCTGGGGGCCTGGACTCCTGGGTCCGAGAGAAGGACCTGGGAGCTTGGTTTCCAAGGAAGGAGACCCAGACACCTGTGTACCCGAGGGAGAAGTGTGCCCAGGAGCTGGGCTCCTGCGCCCTCGGGGCCTCTCCTAGGTTCAGTTAGGTAAGGTTAAAGCCTGTTCTACTGCCTGACCCTGGAAGGAGGAAGTTTTATTTCCCTGTGGCTGAGAGAGGCCTTCTGAAATTGTAGGGTGGAAGCTGAGAGATTAGAGGTTTTAGGACCTGGGGGAGGATTTGGACACCTGGTCCCCAGTAGGCTGGACCCTCTCTATTCCTGAGGGTCTGTAGGACAAGGAGACAGAAGGTTCTGGAGGGACAGAAGAAGGAAGTGGATTTCCCAAACTACAGGTGTCTGCTGTGCCCAAGGCTGAGGGCCCAGAGTCCTGGGGTCTGAAGCTGTGTAACAGGACGTGAGAGGCCTGGAGGTTTCCGTGGAAGGGGCTGGGTCGCGGAGAGCCAAGCTTCTTGGGCGCCCTGGGGAATTTGGAGGTTGGACTCCACGTGCGGGAGGGGCCGAGGCAGGCGGAAGCTCGGCGTCCCTGGGTGAAGTACTCCACACCCAAATCCCAGGTGGGATTCAGACTGAGGGCCCAGACTCTTGATCTCCGAGGTGAGAGGGCGTGCGTGCTGTGGAGAGCTCAGGTCCAGTTCCAGAGACAGGTCGGGGGGGGGGGGGGGGGGGGCCAGAGGCTCTGATCACCTGTGATCACCTGTGAGTCCCAGAGAACGTTCTCACCCGGGGAGGCTGGAAATGCCTGCAGGGTGATAGAAGGAAGGTGGGCACTGGAGCCGGGGGAGTGGAGCCCTGGGTACCCAGAGGGAGGAGGTGGAGCCCAGTGAAGAGGTCTGAACCTCTTGTTCTGACGTGTGGTCGGGGAAGTTTTTGAGTGGCTGGGAGGCTGAGTCCCTGGGGGAAGGAGGGCAGTTTTGAGAGTCTGGGGTGGTTTCACGGTAGTTGGGTTGCAGAGAGAGGGAAGCGGAGACAGCGGCCCAGACTCCTGGGTTCTGCCACAGGACGTGGGAAACCCCAGTCAGGACGGAGGAGGGGGCTGGCACTTGGGTGACCAACTCAGCCCCTTAGGCCTGCCGCATCTCCCCCCTCCGCCAGCTTGAGTCCTTTGTCCCCAGGGGTGGAAGGGCTGAGGGCCTGGGTTCCCACATCTGGAACCTTCTTAGGACTCTTTCTTTGCCCTCTTCCCAGCCATGCCGGTGACCGTGACCCGCACGACCGTCACCACCACCATGTCGTCCTCCTCAGGCCTGGGCTCCCCAACCATCGTGGGGTCCCCTAGGGCGCTGACCCAGCCCCTGGGCCTCCTCCGCCTGCTGCAGCTGGTGTCCACCTGCGTGGCCTTCTCACTGGTGGCCAGTGTGGGTGCTTGGACGGGGTCCATGGGTAACTGGTCCATGTTCACGTGGTGCTTCTGCTTCTCCGTGACCCTCATCATCCTCATAGTCGAGTTGGGCGGGCTCCAGGCCCGCTTCCCCCTGTCCTGGCGAAACTTCCCCATCACCTACGCCTGCTACGCCGCCCTCTTCTGCCTGTCGGCCTCCATCATCTACCCCACCACCTACGTCCAGTTCTTGTCTCACGGCCGCTCCCGGGACCACGCCATCGCCGCCACCGCCTTCTCCTGCATCGCCTGCGTGGCTTATGCCACCGAAGTGGCCTGGACCCGGGCCCGGCCCGGGGAGATCACCGGATACATGGCCACCGTGCCGGGCCTGCTCAAGGTGCTGGAGACCTTCGTGGCCTGTGTCATCTTTGCCTTCATCAGCAGCCCGTACCTGTACCAGCACCAGCCGGCGCTGGAGTGGTGCGTGGCCGTGTACTCGATCTGCTTCATCCTGGCGGCCGTGGCCATCCTGCTGAACCTGGGTGACTGCACCAACGTGCTGCCCATCTCCTTCCCCAGCTTCCTGTCCGGGCTGGCCCTGCTGTCGGTCCTCCTGTATGCCACTGCCCTGGTTCTCTGGCCGCTCTACCAGTTCGACGAGAAGTACGGCGGCCAACCGCGGCGCTCAAGGGATGTGAACTGCGGCGACAGGCACACCTTCTACGTGTGCACCTGGGACCGCCGGCTGGCCGTGGCCATCCTGACGGCCATCAACCTGCTGGCTTACGTGGCTGACCTCGTGTACTCGGCCCGCCTGGTTTTTGTTCGGGTGTGAGGCTCCGGCGGGGGGCTCTTGACTCCCCCCTTGTGCCCAGGTTCTCATTTCCTCTTCCGGGCTCCCTGTCTTCCACCTTTCTCCTGTCCTTCCCAACTCCCCTTGCTCTTTTCCGTTTCTTTCGCCTCTGGGCTCCTCTCTCCTTCCCTTCCTGTTTTGTTTGGTTGCCCGTATCCTGTTTGGCCCATTTGCCCTTCTGTTTTCATGGTCTTCTTTTCTGACCCGTTCTGCCTCTCCTGGCTCTTTTCTGGTTCTCTCGTTTTCTCATCTGCCTGTGTCTTAGCCACCCCTTCCCGTTTTCTTTCTTCCAATTTCCTCGGGAGCTCCAAGACTCCTTCTTCTCTACCCCCACCTCCAAAGGTGCTGAGCTCCACCTGTCCCACACCTCTCTCTGCAGCTGTTAATACCCCTGGCCTCCCCGAGGGGCCTCATTGCCAAAGCATGCCTGCCCGCCCTGGCTGTGCCTTGTTGGTGTGTACGTGTGTGTTTGGGGGAGAGGGGGGGAGGGTAGCTAGGGATTGGGCTCCCTTTCTCCCAGGGGAGGGGGGTGTACCGTACAGGTCCCCTTTAAGTTAAAAAAAAAAAAAATCTCTGGAGGCCAAAGGTTTTCCAGTGGGTATGACGCTTAACCCACAGACAGACCCCGGGTCCCTGGGTCCTGCTCGGCACCCAGCCTCGCCTGAGACTGCCTCCAGAATTTTTGCCAGGCTTACTAAGAATCCACTGCCTAGAGGCCATCTTAAAGGAAGTCAAGGGTGAACGTTTTCCAGCCCGACTGCTCTCTGCGTTATCGAAAACCCGTCGGAAGTATTTGTGAGGGGCAGCGATGTGGCCCTCCAGCCTTAGTGTTAAAAATAGCCCGTCCTGCCTTTGCTGGGAGAAAAAAAATGGCCACTGCCTGCCTTAACGGCAATGCTAGCCTGGGTTGGTTTGTTTGTTTTCCTTTCCGCTTCCTGGTTATGGGGGCAAAACTTACATTGAGTGGCCCTATTCTAAAAGGGGAAGTTGCTTTTCAATTTCTTTTTCTTGAGGGGGGGGGTGGGGTTGCTGTTGCCTTAGAGGGATTGCATTACTTGGAGTGTGGTGCACACACACATACACACACACACAGGTGTGTTTCTGTGTGTTAGTCGCTTCCTGTAGCTGCTTCCTTGCTTCTCTGGGACTCACATGCATAACGTCATATATATAAATGTATAAATATATATTTTATTTTTTTTTTTAATTCCCTGGAGCTTCTGGTCCCCATGGGTCCCTTCTGTCAACCACAGAGGGAAGACTTGTCCGTTGCCCTATTCCCACATCCGTAATTTTTTTTTTTTACATCAATATAAAGATAAAAGAAAAAAATTGTGCTTGCTTTATTACTGGGGAGGGCTCCAGGAGAGAGGGCAAGGACTAGATTCTTAGGACTGGTGGGAAAAGGGGACAACTTTAATGTTTATTCTTTTTGTTTTGTTTTGAGAGAGAGTGGGGGCAGGGGGAGCAGGAGAAAGGCAGAAAGAGAGGAAGGCACGGAGTCCAAAGTGGGCTCCAGGCTCCTCCGAGCTGTCAGCACAGAGCCCGACGCGGGCCTCAAACCCACAAACCGTGAGATCATGACCTGAGCTTAACCGACTGAGCCACCCAGGCACCCCAGAAGGGGACAACTTTATCCTTTGAATCTCCCAATTTACTCTCTCCAACCAGAACTAGTTAGGATCGAAACGGACAAGATTTATCCTTCCTCAGAGTCCAGGAGCACCTCAGAAATAGTGTCTCCATCTGAGTGCAATGTTTCTTCCAAAATCAACTCTTCAGGTTTCCGATCTCAGGAACAGGCTCTCATGGCTGAGAATCCAGGCACTAGTTCTTCCCCGACTTCTGTCAGTGGCTCACCAGACACTGTCTGTCCTTCCTTCAACTGTCTGTCCCCTTCTCCGGGCTCCTGACCTAGCTCAGGTATTTTGCTTCTCCTGAACTAGCATCTCAGCCTCCCCCTTGACTAGCCCACCCCTAGCCCACCTTGGCCCCAGAGGGATGCTTCTAGCATCCAGGTCGGATACTGCCCTCCCCTGCTCAAATCCTTCCACATCCTACTATCCACTGCCTACAGGTAATACCAAAGCTCCAGTCTGGGCCTTCAGGATCTGACCCTGCCTGCGTTCCCATCATCAGCTCCTTCTTTCCCTTAGTTCTAAGCTTCCTGACAACCGGTCCACAGAAGACCTCGATAAAGAGCAAACGAATTACTCCTACAAGGATTCTGTCCCACAGAACTTCCTGTTGTCGGATTCTCCAGCGGGAGGAGAACCGCAAATATCTAAACAGAAGTCTGCAAAAATCCCAGGATCATGCAACCTATTTTATGCACTTGGACCCCAGCAAAAGCAACTGGGGAGAGCTATCTCAAAGGAGGGAGGGAAGGGCTAATTGGAACAGACGCACCGATTTCCAGCGAGGAGAAGCCTCCTTTTGATCTGTGCAGTGTGCACCCCAGAATTCCGACCTGCACCGATGCCTGCCTCCTGCAAGGGCGTCTCGCCCCCTCCCCACCCCATCCCATGCTTGAACCCACTCTGGAAGGCACCAGAGAGAGCAGCTCCAGACCCCGGGAGTGGTGTGCTGGTGATGGTGGAAAGCAGCCAAGCAGACCAAGGTGGGATTCTCAGGTCAGCTTCCAGGACCACTCCCACCCCTACACTTGCCCTTGGGCAGGGCGCACGCCTGGAGGTGGCTGGCAAGGCCAAAACGCCCCATATCTGGGGGGGGGGGGGTGGTTAGGAGGAGAGTCGGATTCCCTCACCTCCTCTTCGGCTTCGGGAAGCCCGACCCGAACCCCCAAAATTCCCAGAGAAGGTGTGGTGGGCTCCCCGGCTCCCCGCCCGTGGCGCCCCGCCCCCTATTGCGGGGCACGCCGGGAAACGAAGTTCTCGGCCGCGTCGCCGCAACAGGCGGTCCGCAGGCTCCGACTACAGGTCCCAGGATGCACTGCACTCCGCAGCCCGAGGAGGGCCGTGGTTGCCCTTGGCAACAGAGCGGGTCCCCGAGAGCCGGGACCCGGACGCGCAGGGGTGTGGGGGGTGGGGGGGGGGGGGGGGGGGCCGGAGCGCGACCTGAGCGAGGCAAAGACGCGGGCAGAGCGACGGACGGGAGACAGGAGGAGACCGACAGAGCGGCACAGGGTTTTCCAGAGCCAGAGAGGGGGAGAGACGTGGAGGGAGGGGGAGACCCCCAGGGACGAAGAGAGAGGTTCATAGCCAGAGAGGGTGAGACCGGGGGGGGGGGGGGGAGAAGGAGAGAGACAAATGAACTCATTCAGAGAGAGAGACCCCCAGCGACAGAGGGTGGGACTGACAGCCCAAGAGTGGGTCAGAGAGGTTTGCAGAGACAGAGACAAAAGTACTTACAGAGACAGGGACACCGTGGGAGAGCGGGAGAGACAGCAAGGACTGAAGAGGTGGGGGAGACAGGGATTGCCTCTCAAAAGAGAAAGACGCAGAGGGAGGGAGACACAGAGGCCCACAGAATCACAGGCTGAGTCCCCGATTGAGAGAGAGAGAGAGAGAGTCACAGGGCCAGAAAGACATACAGAGTCCGGAAGAGGGAGAGCTTCTGGGAGAGAGAGAAGCAGGAATCTAGAAGACCTGCAGGGAGAGGCCGAGGGACACTGATTCGCAGTGAGACGGACACCTCTGAGAAAGAGAGAGACCCCGAGACCCAGCGAGGGTCACAGGGTGAGCGACAGGCATAAAGGAGACGCGCAGCAAAGACAGAGAGACCAAGAACAAGAGATCGTTCCAGAGGGAGACGGAGACCCAGGCCGGGAGACAGAAATCAAGGCCTGAGCAGCAGACGAGAAAGTGAGACACCGGGCCTCCCCGTTCAGCACTGGGTCCCCAGCACTGACGGCAAAGTTCGTGTCATGAGGCCGAGCGACACAGTCAGAAACCCCGAGATCCGGGTGGCGTCTCATAGGGCTAACCGGGCCCACCGAGGCCCCCCGGGTGGGGAGGAGGACCCGGCCAGGCAACAGGCGGAGGGGGTGGGGGGCGGGGAGGGCGCCTCTCAGAGGATGCCCCCCTCCCTCCAGCCAGCCCCCGGAGCGGGTGTGCGCACGTGTGTCGGGAGCGGGGAGGGCATTTGTCCCGAGCCTCCGGGAGGGGGGGTGGGGGGGTGGGGGGGCGGAGGGACGCCTATAAGCTGAAACCCCGCCCCTCGGTCGTCATGGCAACGCCTCCCCCCAGCCGGGGCTCCCACATTTCAGCAGGTGCTTGAGCTCGGAGCTCCCGCCGCCGCCGCCGCCGCCCTTGCCTCGGGCTCCTCGGCGCCCCTGCCCTCGGCTCTCCGCCCTGCCCGCCCGCTCCCCCTGGCGGAGCGGGCGCGTCCCGGGGTGCCGCTCCCTGCCCTGCGCTCCGCGCCTGGAGGTGCCTCGCCCCTCTCCTTCCCTCCTCGCAGTCTCCCCGTGGCTCAGTGCTCTCCCGAGTCTCCGGCTCCTCGCCCTTCTACCTGTTTGCCCCTGCAAGGCGGGATCCTGGTCCCTGCTACGTTCCTGGGGCCATGGCAGGCCTGGGCCCCGGCGGAGGCGATTCAGAGGGGGGACCCCGGCCCCTGTTTTGCAGAAAGGGGGCTCTGAGGCAGAAGGTGGTCCACGAAGTCAAGAGCCACAAGTTCACCGCCCGCTTCTTCAAGCAGCCAACCTTCTGCAGCCACTGCACGGACTTCATCTGGTGAGGGAAGGGGCTGGGGGCCTGAGGGAGGAGGCAACGAGGGATAGAGACTCCTGTCACCCCAGACCCGGAGTGCTCGGGAAGGAGAGGGCTGCAACCCTGGCTCCTGGTCCTAGGGGAGGAGGAACTGGGGACCCGGACCCCTGGGTCTGAGGGAGGAGGGGCTGGGGAAACGGACCCCTGGG